ATATTTTTTTCAATGCAATCCTTCTAATAGTAATAGTTCCAGTCAATACAATTGATTAGCAATGATATTTTAAAAAAGACAACACATATTTATGATAAATAACTAACTTAACGTATTTTCTTAATCTCCTCAAATTAGTCAACTAGCTTTTATAATTAGGACCAGAGGTAGTACTACTCCCAATCCTTAGTATAAGAGCTTATTTGACTTTTATTTTGTTCCTAATTATAAGACTCCAATCCACTTTATCACTCATATTTATCTATTTTTTAAAGTAATCCTTGTAATAATAATAATTCTAGTCAATATACTTAACTAGCAAGGATATTTTAGAAAAAACACTACATATTCATTACAAATAACTAACTTAACAAGTCTTCTTAATTTATTCAAATTAGTCAACCAGCTCTTATATTAAGAATTGGAGGTAATGTATCTCAATTGAAAAATCCAAATCCATCATATTAAACAATATAGTATTACCTCTGGTCCTTAATATAAGACCTTGTTTGACTTTTATTTGGTTCTAAATAATACCCTAATCCACTTTGTTTCTCATATTTTTATATTTTTTTTCTCAAAGTAGTCCTTCTAACAATGATAGTTCTAGCCAATACAGTTGATTAGTAAAAATATTTTAGGAAAAATAATACCTATTTATTACAAATAACTAACTTAACTTCTTTTTTTAATCTCCTCAAATAAACTAACTAGCTCTTATAATTAAGACGGGAGGTAGTATTATCTTACCTCGGATTTTAAATCATTTGAGGTCAATTGCCAAAAGATCAACCTAACATTCACCTGACTCGGCGCCGGCTTCAATTTTTTCTCCGGAAATGCTTGGGATCACGTCCGAATTATTATTTTGATTATATTTAAATGGTTTCAGTTTTACTCTGTTTTTTTTTTTACATATTTTTTCATTTAATTTTCTAATATCATACTCCTAGACTGGATTTAAGCATTACCAGGGCTAAGTTAGGATAGCTTCCTCGTGGTTGTTCTTATCTTTCTATTTACGATCATCATCGGCATCTTTACTTTGTCTTTAAAAATAGTTTTACAACGAAAATGCACACACACACACAATAAATAATTTAAATTTATAATAGTAAATTGTAGTTTCTTTTATTGTGACTATAAGGTATGGGACTTGTAATCCATCATCCACTAATAATAAAATGCCGACAAATTGAATAAAGAATGTTCAGTCCATAGATGTGGTGTTTTGGACAATGTTAAATGTCTAAAATGACAATCATTTATGATACGGCAATATAGATTTTGGTATTTCTTTATTTATTTTTTTGCATTTATCATCTCATCAGAAAAGGTGTAATGATAAGAATTATATTTATAAGTTTGATATAGACATCAAACAATAATTCTTCCTCCCAGCCAATAGCTTTTTCTTCACTCTAAATTTATTAAATTAAATAAGCCTCAAGCCCCTTTCGAGCTTATCCAACCATTCATATCTTTCCGTTGGGAAATAGTTAGCTACGCTTTATTTCCAATGTTATCATTATTATTGTTATTAAAATGAGGAAAGAAATTTAATCACAGGAAAATGAATATTGTAGATATGATAAGAGAAAATTGATTTTCCAAAAAATAAAAAATAATTGTTAAATAATAATTTAAGTATTATTAATTTCTTATTTAATCTATGTCTTTCTTGATTAAATTAATCAACTTAACGATAGAAATAATGGTGAAAATATCTAAATAGATGAAAATATGAGGCCCGAAACGGGTCAATTAATCAATAAATACGCATTTTTCGTAAAAAAAAAATCCAGAAATGCAAGTTAAAAAAGGCTTGTAATATGAAATAAAGAGGGTATTTCCATACAAAAAAAGTTATGAATACAAGTAAATAATAATGAAGGAAATTGTTAGGAAAAAATAAGAAAAAAATGTAAAAAAAAATCTTAAAGTAAAAAAATTATAAACAAGGACCGTTACAATATTGGTTTTCACAATAATTGGTGATCAAGTGGTAATAATTTTTATGAACAGGTACTTGAATGCGATTTTCTCAAAAGATAATGAAGGAAATAATAATAATAATAATAATAATAATAGTAATAGTAATAATAATAAGGCCACGCAGAATTTGGTATGATATTCGAGGAGTAGGTGGCGAAAAAGTGAGTGAAATTCTCGATACAGGAGGAAAAGAAAAGGAAAAATTTCGATTAAGGATCGCAGTTAAGAATTTATTTCACGTAGCCCCTGAAATATTCTGAAATGTCACTCCAGGACCAAAAGACTAAACTGAAATTAAAATTAAGAATAAGATTACAATAATACCCCTTATTTTTATTTTTTAAAAAATAAATATTAATGGTCGTTGGAGTTCTGGCTACCGGCACTCAGGTGATTGCCATCGGAGGTTGGAGCTCCAGTGGTCGCTACTGTAGCTTAGACGGCTAGAAGATTTTTTTTTTAAAAAATAAGGTGGGCAAAGAAAGATTTGAACCCATGACCCATTGGCACACTAAAAATAATATGACCACTAAGCCAACCAAACCATTTAATCATATAATGCAAATAAAAATATATATAACAAAATAAATGCAAGTGTCCAAGTGCAAGTGAACAAGTGAAATTCGATAATTTACAAGTGAAATTCAGCAATTTACAACAAAAATTTGACGATTTACAAATAACATAATGAAATTTACGACCCCAAATGCAAGTTTTTAAGTATAAATGAGTATGTGAAATTTGAAGATTCACAACAAAAGTTCATGAATTTACAATCCAAATTTGGCGATTCACAAGAAACAAAAAACAACTCACCCAACATGTAAATGTTTGAGTGTGAATGAATAAGTGAAATTTAGCAATTTACAACAACAATTAAGATATTTACAATCCAAATTCAACGATTCATAAGAAACATGAATACTTGTATTTGAAATTGTGAATTCTCTTATTAGTTTTGTCATGTTTATGTTTCTTATGAATCACTAAATTTAGGTTGTAAATAATTGAATTTTATGTGTTCATTTACACTCAAACACTTACATTTGGATTGTAAATTTTCTTATGTTTCTTGTTAATAGACGAACTTATGTTATAAATCCATAAACTTTTGCTGTAAATCTTCAAATTTCACTTACTCATTTACACTTAAACATTTGTATTTGAAGTTATGAATTCCATTATGTTATTTGTAGATCGTCAAATTTTTGTTGTAAATTACTGAATTTCACTTGTAAATTGTCGAATTTTACTTGTTCACTTATACTTGGACACTTGCGTTTGTTTTGTTATATATATTTTTATTTGCATCATATGATTAAATAGTTTGGTTGGCTTGATAGTTACATCAGTTTTGGTGTACCAATAAGTTATTGGTTCAAACCTTCCTTGGCCATCTTATTTAAAAAAAAACATCTTCCGGCCACTGGAGTTACAGTAGTGACCACCAAAGCTCCAACTTTCAACGGCGGCCACCTGAGCACTGGTGGCCAGACCTTTGACTTTCAGTGGCTGAAACTCTGGTGATCATTAATATTTTTTTTTTTAAAAATAAAAATAAAGAGTATTATTATAATTTTATTCTTAATTTTAATTTTAATTTGGTCATTTAGTCTTGTAGCGACATTTCAAAGGCTTGCTTTGCAGAGAAGAAGCCAAAATTGCGTGGAGAACCACACAATCACGATCCTTTCCATGTTTGTGTGCTCCATCCTTTTCTTTTCCTATATAAAAGCACTGCAACACACACATGCAGACACAATCTTAGTGGTTATTAAATCGTTGACAACCATCCTTTTAATTCAATGACATCTTGCACCTTGAGGCGTGGATTTTATACCTCAAAGTAGTAAAAAATGGAGCGTGTGGAACCCTCTTATGAGAAAATGTTTCAAATTGCTCATACCAAAAAAATTTATTGTTGAATTAATGTTATTTAATATTTTATGCATGAGTGTGAATAACAAAACTTGCCATAAATTTTGTTTTTTGATATATTGATGATGATCCTATTATATTAGAATCAATACTTATATCATGGGATTTGGGGTTACTAGGTGTGAATGCGGATTTGAGTAATTCCACTAAATCTCTTTGGTTGTAGCATTAGTGTTAAACATTTTTTAAAAAAAAATTAGCTATTTTTTGAGAACAAATGTTGAGAAAAATCAAACTACTTTTTAAAATTAATAATTTCTTTATGAAGTTATCTATACTTAAGAGTCGAACTTATGTAATTTGGGGGAATATTCTTAAAGAACATGCATTAGAGCATCATCTTTTGAGTTGTGCTAACCTAGAAATTTTAATTTCTATGACTTTGTATGGTGAAATTTCTATGAAATATGGGGTTATCCTTGAATATAATTTTAAAAAATAACAAATAAAACAAGTGAAGAGAGAGAGAAAGCACACGATCATTTATACTGGTTCAGACCAATATGTCTTATGTCCAGTCCCTAAGCACAAAGCAAGGGATTTTTATCATAAGGGGCAATTATTATAACATACAAAGCAGCCTAAACATTGACTTTGTTTATCTATGTCACTTTTTATTGTTGTTTTCTGTAAGCTTCCTAAAGCTAAAAATTCAAGGCTCTCTAACATGTCTAGATCCCAAGTTCTACAACTTTTCTCTTCAATATTATGCGGTTTAAGCAGAGGAAGAGTATCTCAAATACAAAAGAGAACTCACGCGCGCAGAACAATCTGCACATCAAAATATAATAGCTTTGAAATATTTAACTTCATTGTTCTGGATATTCATCCCTTAGAGAGTGTTAAAACTGTTGGACAAGACCTTCCTTTGGATGCACTGATTTGTTCACCGATCAAAGATATCTATCTTCAATGCTTTGCCACAACTCAATCAAACTAATGTATAAGTTCTACTTCATGAAATTATGGACCTCAGATTTTGTTCTTCAGCGGAATTATTTGATCAATAGCTTCACATAATCATACCAATACAAAGCCAACAGATAGAGAATTCAAACGAAATATCATTTCGGAACTTATGATGTTATGCTAGAGTTATATACATATATATATATATCTCCCCAGTTAGCATGCAACAGAAAAGATTTAAAAGGCCACAAGCAAAAACATAACCAGTTTGATAAAATGCTAGCGGAGAACATTATTAGAAGTACGATATCTTTCAAATCATGACATAAATCCGTGCAACAAACCATCATTGCTTGGATCATAACTTCATCTAGTGCCAAATTGTAGGAGAAACAGATCCTGTAAGAAATAGAGTAGCATGTTAAGCATTCCCAAGTAACTCTATAGACAAGATTACTTTATTGTTGTTATCTTGGTTTTCCCAATTTAGTCAAAAGCCCAATGTTTCGTTTGGTAAGAAGCATTAAAAATGAGGGATAAGGATTATGATTAAGATAGGAAAAACTATTAAAGAGTGTTTACTATGAGTACTTTTTTGTTATATAGGATTAAGTAGTCTCATGTAGGTGGTATTAGGGAATATTACCTCTCCTCATGGTATCTCTCAATCCCACATATATAGATTTGTCCAATCTCAAATAACAAGTAATAACTCATGCTAAAGACTCTTTTAACAATTTTTTTCACTTCCAATCATAATTCTTATCTCTCATTTTTAATGCCTCATACCATATGGAACCTAAATATTATAGCTTAAAAATACTTGTACAAGGTCCAAATGTGATTTTGATTTGAGCATCACTACTAAGTGAAAAATGTTTGTCTACATTAACATATAGACTCTAGTAATTTACTATCACATGGTTATTATAAGTAAGAGTTGAATGGGGTAATAACAGGAAGAGGAAAAATATAAATCATTACCTCGTGGCTAGTCTCTAATGGTGAGGTATTTAACCACATAAACTGCAACTATGACATGGACTTTGTCTGTTACTGTGTTCACAAACTTGTAATAGGCTTGTCTCCAAGTTTGGTTGAAGAGCAACGGCCCCACAAAGGCCCAAAATCCAACAATGAATCCCAAACCCATGCTCAGGTAAAATTCTCGAGAGAATAATGAGGCATCTTCTTCTTCATCCTGATTAACTTCTTGAGGTGGCAGCATATTATCTTCTGGGCACTTTTTGCTCAATGGCAATCCACAAAGATCAAGGTTTCCTTCATAACACGAGGCATTAAAGCTTTGCAACTGTGTTCCTGTTGGGATTTTTCCATAGAGATTATTGTTTGACAAATCTAACACACTGAGACGATCAATATGAGCAAGACTTGGAGGAATTGGCCCTGATAAATTATTTTTTGACAAATCAAGAAATTCAAGTGATTTTAGATTTCCAATCTCCTTGGGTATTTTTCCACTCAATTGGTTTCTTGACAAATTCAAGGAAACCAATCCCAACAAAGATACAAGTTCTCTTGGTATTTTTCCTGATAGAGCATTGCTAGAGAGATCAATACTTTTAAGAAGGAATTCTGGCCTCATAAACATGTAATCCTGCCCTTTCCACATCAATGTTATGTAGAATTCCAAACTATCAAAGATATTATAAAACCATGTTGTATTGATGGTATAATAATGATAGCTGTTACTTAAGTTGATGTACTCTTGTGCCATAGTAGTAAAATTTTGAAGGCAGGATGGAATTTCATTGGACAAGTTATTACAAGAAAGATCCAGGAGTCGAATTTGTGTCAAGTGGCAAAGATGCACAGGTAGACTTCCATATAAATGATTCATCCGTAAGCTTAAAATTTTCAATTGTCCAAGGCTTGTCCCAATCCATGAAGGTATTGATCCGAACAACTTATTCATTGACACATCCAATAATAATAGCTTGGAGCAATTCACCAAAGACAAAGGAAGTTCTCCAGTCAAGCTATTGTTTCTTAATACCAAAGCTTCTATATTCATAAGGCATCCTATAGAGGATGGGATCTCTCCCAACAAATTATTGTTGCTCAAATCAACAAATTGTAATGAGTTCAGTCGGCTCTAGCAATTAGGTAGATGCCCCTTTAATTGATTGTTTGATATGTCCAAAATGAGAATGCCTCCATCCTCAGTTTGGCTACATGCAAGCAACATCAAATTTGAGAACTTATTTTTGGAAAGATGAAGTTCTGATGCTTGCCCAAAAAAGGATGGAACTGCACCTTCAAAGTTGTTTGAAGTTAAAATAATGATTGGTCGATGATTGAACTCCAATGGTAAATTCGAGATTTGACCAGAAAAATTGTTGGATGAGATGTTCATGTAATCTAAATCTTTCAATAGTTGCCAAAACCATTCTGGTATAAAACCAGAAAGACTACCATTAGAAATATCCAAAGAGTATAATTCATGTTGATTACGAAGCCAATGTGGAAAATTAGGACCTATCATGCAAGAAGCCATGAGCAAATGATATAATTGGAAAGGAGGAATCCAACTACTGCTAATGTTCAAGGCCAACGGATTGTAAGACAATGATAGAACCAACAAATTAGAAAGATTTCTAAAATGAGATTCGGTAATTGCACCTCCCAAATCATTATCATTCAACCGCAAATATTTCAATTGAGATTGTGATCCTAAGCTTTCAGGTATTTTTCCTTTTAATTTGTTGTGAGAGAGATCCAAATCTTGCAAAAAGAAAAAAGCCGAAAGATCAGGTAACATGCCCGTCAATCGATTTCCTGGAAAATATAAACTTTGCAATGGATGTCTATCACACCGTGATGTATTAGAAATGAAACTTTGAAGGTCCCCACTCAAGTTATTGTAGCCAAGTGTTAAGCTCTTCAATGTGCATATATTCCCTAGTGATGTTGGGACTTCACCTTGGAGATAATTAGAGTTGAGATCAAGAACTTTAAGAGAGTTCATTGTGTTTCCAAAACTCTCAGGAATGGAACTGCCAAGCAAGTTATTATTGAGGTACACTTCATAAAGATTGAAGGTGAAGTTGGAAATCCAATGGAATATGGTTGATGATGTGAAATGATTAAAAGACATGTCAAGATGGAGAAGAGAAGTAAGGTTGGGATCGAAAGATGTGACGATAAGATTATTTGATGAAAGGCTACAATTGATCAAATAAAGCTCTTGAAGAGTGGAGCCAAAGTTCAACTTCATTACTGACATCAAGTCATTATAAGAGAGATCAAGAACAGTGAGGGAAGAAAAATGAAAATGAGAAAATAGAAAGGAAGGATCATTAGTTGAAAGACTACAGTTTCTTAGATAAAGCTCTTGAAGGTTGGAGCTGAAGTTGAAGGGCCACTTAAATAATGATGAGCTCAAGTTGTTAAAGGAGAGATCAAGAACGACCAGAGAAGAAGAATAGTTGGAAGGAAGGTCATGTGCATAAGTGATGCCACATCCTGTTAATTGCAGTTCTCTCAGTTGAGGCAAAAGTTTGCCAATAATTTGGAGCCAGAGATGAGAATAGCCAACATCACTGACATTATTCAACCCAAGATTTGTTATTGAAGAGAGCTTAGATATCCAATCTACATCACGATTGTTTTTGTCGGCCACTGTGAGGTTAGAATCATAACCACCAAGTTGCAGTGTGTGCAGCATGGAGAGATTCCCAAGTTGATAAGGAATCACTCCATCAAGATCATTTCCTCCAAGATGAAGGTACTGCAACTTGGAAAGATTTCCGATTTGCCAAGGGATAGCTCCATCCAAGTAATTGTTACTCAGATCAACATATTGTAAGTTTGAAACCTTTCCCAATTCATTGGGAATACTCCCAACAAAAAGAGAATGAGAGAGGTTGAGATATCTCAAGTTCGTGAATGACTCTATGGACTTAGGGATGTCACTTGGATATAAATAATTGCAACTGAGATCCAAATGTTTCAGATCATGCAAATCATTCAATAAAGTAATATTAATGACACCAACCAAATAAAGTGAGTTTGAACCGTGGAGATCAAGAATTTGAACGTGACCTGTTTCCTTGCTACAATAAACTCTTTCCCAGTTGCAACAATCTTCATCATCTCCGTCCCTCCATGTGGACAGCATAGTAGCAGAGTCAGCATAGATGCCTTGTTTGAACGAGAGAAGAGCCTTCCTCTCCCTCCCTATGCACTTCTTCATTGATTCACTATTAACGGCCTCACTGAGACTTGAACGCAACAACAGCAGCATCAATAATGCATAGAAATATTTCAACATAAAGCCCATCGTATAGATGAAATAGCTTCAATACAATACAAGTTCAAAAGTGAAAAAACTAGAGAGGTTTATGGCACAAAATTCTTTGATAACGGTGGTTCATTGTGGGGGGCTATATGTAGACGTTTTTGGTGAAGAAAAGTCACAATAGAGAGAGAACACGTTAGTTCAACAGCTTTTGTTTTAAAAATAAAAAATCAACACCATTTTGTTTTAAAAATAAAAAAATCAATACCATTATTAGTTCCTTTTAGTTTTATTTTCAAATCATAGGTTTTACTTTCTATAACCTAAAACATTGCTCTTTATATACACATAATTAAAACGAATATTTTAGAAAAGAGAACATGTACTTATTATATATAACCAATCTAACTAATTTTCCTAATATTCACAAATTAGTTATCTAGCTTTTATATTAAGCATTGGAGGTAGTATTAGACTGAATCTATATATATGATCTGTGTGTGTGTAGAACATATATTTAGACTTATTAGTAGTTGAGTAATGTTTGAGAGGAAATCACTCACATTTTGACAAAGTCCATAGATTTAAAAGAGGCAGATGAACAGTTGCTATCAATTTAGCGTATGCTTAACTCCTGTAATACATCAACATTATATTGAATGACCGTAAAAGTTGTTATTATTATCAATGGCAGAAAAAGGTTATTATCATTATCGCAGCGTTGAACATTTTAATGGTACAGTTTCATTTGGACTAATGAAGAGCATTAATTTGTCACGCGTAATAAACACAAAGTAGACTTTAGGTGCTAGAGTTGTCATCAATTTATCATCTCGTCAGCCATCTTGTATTAGAAAAATATATTAGATTTATTAGTGATAGTGTTTCATATGGGCTAATTAGTCAATGAGAGGCAAAGTCTGTAAACTAGAAAAAGTGATAGCGTTTCTATCATTTTTTTGTCTCCAACGTACAGGATGCATTAAACTTGCGTTGATTAATTAGTTTTAAACTCTCATGTACATGTAAAAGGACTATGTTTGTCAACGGCAATATCACTTGTGTGTTTGAATGAATTTCCTAATTTGAGCTCGGTATTGATATGTTTGTGTGCATGTATATGTTTAAATAATGTTTAAAATAAAAAAAAAAAGTATGGTCTACGGCAAGTTGCTCAAGCGCCAAGACCATCCGTCACTCTTGGATGGGTTTTTGTAACATTTTGGACCGTCAGATTATGCCTTAGTTTTCTAAACCATTATTTATTGATCTAGTTCAATTTTAACAATAATTTGCGTCAAATCAGTATAAATGAACATTAATCATAGGGTTTAAATAAATTTCACTATTATCATAACACTTCTCATAGTTTATAATATATTTTTTAAATTTTTTTCAGCATTCTCTACAAATTTCATTAGACTACGTAATCAACATAAGATCTGAAGAGTATTAAAAAAAAAATCAGTATAATTTAAAGCAGTTTCCAAGTTATTATCTCTTTTATGCGTCGAATGAGCTTAAAAAAGAATCCAGTGAAAATAAATTGGCACTCAACTTTTTCAATTTTCAAAGAGGTCCCAGTGAAGTCATGAGTCCTCCAGTGCATTTATTGGGGAAATATATAGGGAGAATTATAATAAGGTCTGAAAAAAGAGATAATTACAAAACAAGCATAACAAGTTATCATTTTCTATTTTTAAACTTTGTCATTAAAAACTGTTGATGCTGTTATTAAAATTTTTGAATAATTTTTTTTGAAACTTTATTGTAATTCTACCGATTATATAGGTTTTGGGTCTGAAATCAAAGGTCTAAGAATATGGTGGGCCTAATATTAAGTTCATAACATATATAATTGGACATACTAAAGGGTCAATTGTTACTGGGCTATCCAATTGACATCCATTGGGCCAGAAAGAATTAACCAGTGAGCCTTATAATATGACACAAGGAGTAACACGGTATGATCCGGTAAGACCATAACGTCTATATTTACACCGGTCAAACCATTCCATTAATCTCAAGTCTCAACTTACTTCAACTTTTAACACTGCCCCATCTTTCCATCAAGTAGGCGGCACCGCATCAAATCAGCATCCACAATGAGTCTTTTAAATTGACTATTTCTATCCGTAACATAACAACTATATTTATGTCTTTTTTTAAAATCAAATTTCACTTCGTTTTAGTTTTCATTCTTATAAAAATATTTCAAAAACGCCCTATGTTGGAATACACAATACAAGCTGTCAGTAGAACTCTTCAAAGTTTTTTATCAGCATGTTCTAAGATATCCACCATAGTCCATATACAATTAAAAAAAAAAAAGCTTAATTCTTGGGATTGCTTATTTTATAATCTTCAGTCATGTGTTTAAAGCATTCATTGCCTTCCCATGCCCTACCTCAGGCTGCGAGAATGGTATCAAAAGAAAGGGAATTAAATTTTGACGGAGAGTTCTCGTTAAATTTTTTTAATGAATATTTGAAGGAAAAAAAAGAGTATGTTGATAAGTTAAGAATATCAACGTTTGAATAATTTTCTTGGATAGGTTTTTTTCCTCCTATACATATGAAAAAAAAAAGACTCATTTTACCAATAGGATTCGAATCTTCACTCATAAAAGTATTCATATTGAGTACCACTCTGTTCCTTATTATAGGTTATTTGTACCCCAAAAGTTTGTTTTAAAATATAAGTCACTTGTAGTATAATTAATAATCTTTTTCCAATTTTACTCCTATTAATTTAATTAAAAATTTATTAATCTCTCTCTCAACTTTTCATTTCCTATGTAATTAAGTAAATCTTAATTTAAGACCAGAGGTAATATTATTTTGACAAGTTTTTGATAAATTATGTTCTTAGTGTTAGAAATATTAAAGGGAAAGGAATATTAAGTACAAATATGATGGAAGCCCATTTTGATCATTTACAAATGATGGAATATAAATAGAAACAAAAAATGTGTACCGCACCAGCATTCACGCAGAGTGGTACAACGGTGTGGAGAGGAAGTCAGAAAACTTGATGATTGGGGTGTAGAAAAATAAACTGAGACACCTCCTATTTATAGAACTACAGTAACCACTATTTTAGAAAAATTGCAATTTCACTCATTTATTATAGGATAATATTTTGATTTACAGTCAACAATTAATATCTGATTGATTTTTTTTTTCAGTCAATCAATCAAATCCATAATGTGTGATTGAATATTCTTTAATCAATCATTACTTTTGATTGGTGATTAATTTTCTTTTAATCAAAGAGATTCTCCTCTTATGAATCCAATAGTCCAGCCAATCAAGCCCAAACTAGTTTCTGTTTCTTGTTCATTTTGATGATGTTTGCGATCGTACGTGGTGTGCATGCAGCCGACACAGCTAATTAACACAAATCAAACTGCACCCACAACTCAGCGATCGACGACATGACTTATTTAATTAGGCCCCAAAGCTCCTCCTAAATTTAGAGCTGGAAAACGGGCCGAGCCCGTCAGGCCGGCCTTTTTAGGCCCTGAAATTATGAGGGTCGGGTTTGATATTTTTCTCTTAAAATGAGAAATAAGCCCTGGAGGGCCGAGGGCTTAAAAGGGCCAGCCCTGGAGGGCCGCGGGCCGGCCCTTTTAAGTCCTTTTATAAATTTTTTTATTTTTTAAATTTTTTTATATAATATTAATGTTATTAATTTTTTACATTGTTAATAATATTTCAAATATTTAGTTATTATTATCATTTTAAAATTAAATTTAGTTTTAGACAATAATTTATCCAATTAAATTTTTAAAAAATGGGTTAATTTGAACTTTAATAATAATTTGATTTATATTATATGCGTTGATATTTTTAAACTATATATATTTGATAATAGAATATTTTTATACTTATATAACTTGTGATTCTATAATTTGAATTAGAAATTCATGAGTTTCAACAATAATGTTTCTCACATTAAAGTAAAATAATAGTTAGATTGCAAAATTTAAAAATAAAATTCTTATAAAGAAGAAAAACTTGATATTTTTGTTATGAAAGAAAAGCATACTTATGAAGAAAAATAATTAATTATAGTGATAATGAAGTTTCAAAAGATTAATGATAGTGTTTATTTATTGCACAATTGCATTATAGATAAAACTTTTAGATGTTGATATCTTGTTAATGAATGTTTTAGATGTTCTCAGATGTTGATGAATATTTATATATGATAATATTTTATATTTGTGACTTAATTTTATTCATATTTATATCTTTTATTAATAATTTTATTGGTTTATTTTTATATTTTTATAAAAAAAATATGATAAATATAAAAAATAATATTTTTTCTAAACGGGCCAAAAGCCCGCAGGCCGGCCCTGGCCCTGTAGTTTAAGGGCCGGGCCTAGCAAATTGGGGTATTTTTAAAATTTCAGCCCTGGAGGGCCGGCCCTTTTAAGCCCGCCAGCCCTGAAGGGCCGGCCCTGATTCCCGGCTCTACTCCTAATATTCTAGTACTAATATTATTTTAACATTAACACAAATTATTTATTATTTGATCCAACGATTGAGATGAAATTCTGATAAGAAAATGAAAAAGAATGATTTTGAGAGGATCCAAACGCCTCTCTCGGGTGATCATTGGTGGTCTTCTCCTTTGAAACTCCGATTGCTCCCTTCAGGTTCCTCATTGTTCTCTCCCACCCATACTTTTTTGTTTTTGGTAGTTTCTATCATGATAATGATGATCAAGAATAAAAATTCTATGAGGCATTTAGGTGATTTTGAAAACCTTCGCTGGTTTGGGTTGTTCATTTCTATCCTAGATATCATAATTCATTGTGGGATTTGCTTTGTTGGTCTCATTTTATTTCCTTTGCTAAACAATGGTTCTTACGGTTATTTCATTAATGATCCAACAGTAGTAATTTTCTTCCGGGGATGTTTCAATTGTGAATTTGAAATCAATTACTCCTACATTTGGTGAGTTGTTGTAATTCAAAAATATAAAATTCCTTAGCTGTAAAAACTTCATTGGCGTCATATATGCATTTACAC